AACCTTCCGTTTGTTCTCCATATTTATGAGTCTTCTCTGTTTTGTCCCCCTCCCTGTTTTTATATTATTTTTGTTTCCCTTCCCTTATGTTCATCTGTTTTGTCTCTTAAAGTCCTCATATGAATGAAGTCATGATATTTGTCTTTCTCTGACTGACTCAATTCACTTAACATAACATTGTGTATATATACCACATCTTTATCCCTTCATCCAATCAATGGACATTTGGGCTCCTTCCATACCTTGGCTATTATTGATAGTGCTGCTATATACATTGGGGTTCATGTGTCCCTTTGAAACAGCACACCTGTATCCCTTGGATAAATACCTAGTAGTGCAATTGCTGGGTTGTAGGATAGTTCTATTTTTAGTTTTTTGAGGAACCTCCATACTGTTTTCCAGAATGGCTGCACCAGCTTGCACTCCCAGATTGTTTTATTTTTTAGCATGTGAGGTGGTTAGCTTTGTATGTTTAACTCACCCATGCATCTGCTCCTTTTTCTTCCTTTAGTTTGCATTATATAATTTTTGCCTAAAAGTATTGTTTCCAGATTGACTAGCTAACAGCTATCTCTAGAAAGTAGTACTTGTGAAGTTATAGAAGAACTCTCATATAAACAAGAAAAATATTAAAATCTCATTTTGTATTCTCAAAAACAGAATCATAGGCGTCAAGAACCATTTTCCCCAAATCAAAAAAAGCAAAAGTAGGGGGTGCCTGGGTGGCTCAGTCAGTTGAGCATCCGACTTCGGTTCAGGTCATGATCTCACAGTTCCTGGGTTCCTGAGTTTGAGCCCCATATGGGGCTCTGTGCGGACAGCTCAGAGCCTGGAGCCTGCATCAGATTCTGTGTGTCTTTCTCTGCCACTCCCCTGTTTGCTCTCTCTCAAAAATAAACATTAAAACAAATTTTTGAAGGAAAAACAAAAGTTAATACACATATATTTGACATATTTTTCCATCAGATGCAGAGTACAGTCCGAGAGCACAGAGATGGAGGTCATGCAGGTGGAATCTTCAACAGATACAATATTCTCAAGGTAATAAGTTAGTGAAAATAAAGTTTTCCGAGACCGTAGTTTTCAAAGCCTGAAACAGTAATTAACTTTCATAAGAATATAATCTGTCTAGCCTAGTAAGTCTTTGACATAGCATCAAGGGATGTTTGGGGAAAGGGTAGATCCTTAAAGGTTAAGATTCTCAAAATCCCTGTACTGTTTTTCATTTTTTCTTTCTTTCTTTCTTCCTTTTTTTGGGCTGTTTTCGTAACAAATAATTCAGCATTTGTTGAATTATCTTGAGATCATGATAAATCCATTAGGTTTAGGACCTTAAATATATAAATTATTCAAGTACTCTTTTGTAGCAAAGCTGAATTTTCTTTGTGGCTCAAGAAAGGACTCCATCTTTATACTTATTTGTCCTGTGACTACTCCGTGTGTCCATGAGTCCCCCATCTATACAACTTTTTTATAATTTTAATAGTACTCCCTCTGTACCTTCATCTTTTCCAAAAATAGTCTGAGGTTTTAAGTCATTCAAAGGAGAGTCCTGTCTTTTCTTGATACCAGGTACTCTTCTCAGGGCCTTTTCCAACTTTGCTGTGTTTTTCTTGAACTACAGCAAACAAAAATGCACGCTCTACTTGAGATGAATAAATCTTTTTATTAACTACATTGATATATTCTTAATAATTATGAAATAAGACAAAATGTGGCAAGTATCTTTTTAATACCTAAATTTTAAACTCAAAAGTGAACAGTATCAAATATTTCAGCTGTTTTATATTATTGTCATATATATACTATTATAAGGTTATATTCGATGTCGTATTTTAGAGTTAGTGAATACTAAAACTATAGGAGATTGCTTTGTTCATCCTATTAGATGATTTAAGGTAAAGAAATCCTGGGAGCTCCTATTTATTAATTTATATCATAGTGTGACAAGAGTGACATCTTGATATTTCCATTCATGAACATATGTAATATTTTTAATAAGGCAAATAATCATGCCTTTTATTTTCTTAATATAAGTGAGATCGCTGTGTCAGTTGTGTTCCTTGATTACATCTGTAGCCATATTTGAGTTTTTTTAAGCCAAGACTAAATCCACCAGCTCCCAGATGTGCTCTAGGACCAGCAGGGGGCTGTAACACCTTTAAGCACAGCCAAGAAACAGCTCTAGGGTTGTGAATTTTGATCCTAGAAATACTCCCAGTGAGACCAGCATCCATCTTTAACTCTTCTCAAGACAAAAATTTTAGGAATTGGAGGGATAGGGAAGGGTAGAGAGAGTAGTAGAGGCGTGTCTGTGTGTGTGTGTGTTTTAAGAATGTTTTTTGCTGGGGGTTATTTCAAATATTTTTCATTAAAAGCAGATACAGGTGATACTTTGAGCCAAATAAAATAGGATGAGGTGAAAGATAACCGTTCTCTTTTTAATACTTACATACAGAATTCAGTATACCTGATTTGGAGCTGTTTTAGTAATAATTCTAAATTAATGAGAATGGAAGTATTTTAGTTTATGGTATTCTTGACCTTCCCATAAGTCCATATATAGCTTTTTTCCCTTTGAAGTTTTTCATTTCCAAAATGTAGCTATATTTCTATCTTTATGTTTGAGACCAAGTATTTTTAGCTGACTAAAATAAAACATAGTTTATATTTCAGAGAAGTTTTGCCTCTCTTCTGACTATGTGGCCTATTTAGGTTAAGATGAACAAGTAAAGTAGGTAAGTAATTATGACGTAAAGATTTTGATTCCTCTGGTTTCTTTTTTATAGATTCAGAAAGTTTGTAACAAGAAACTATGGGAAAGATACACCCACAGAAGAAAAGAAGTTTCTGAAGAAAACCACAACCATGCAAATGAAAGAATGCTATTTCATGGTAAGATTCCTCAGGGCAGGGGGCAGCGCTGGCAGGCTCAGTAGGTAGAGCATGTGACTCTTGATCTCAGCGTCATGAATTCAAGCCCCAATTGGAGGGTGGAGATTACTTAAAAAAATTTTTTAAAATGAAATCTTTAAAGAGCTGTTGTCATTGAACTTAGGGAATTTTCTAAGAACTTCTGTTGGATTGAAAGCACTATTTGTCTTGAAATTTCCTGTTTTCTTTTATGCTGCAAATTGACAGGTGTTGATTGGTCTTTGAGATTTATAGCAAAGATGAATGTAAATGTTAATGTAGTGTTTATCAAGTCTTCAAGCACATAGTAACTCCGGTATTTTCTTCATTTGGCCTTGATTGCAGAAAATTTTTAGAGACCTATAAAGTTCTATGAAACACAGCATTTAAATTTTACAGTCCCCTGGAAGAATGGCTATAGCAGACTGAATTGGTGGATAACATCTAAATGGTATTTCTCATTCTAAAACCCTAAAAACCATCATGATGCTCTCTTGTCAAAGAGTGTAATATTCATTTAGGTACTGACTTGATGGTTATAATGAATGATTTTTCTGTTTTATAATAAATGATTTTGGTTTTTCCAAATTAATTGAAATAAGTGATTCTGGTCTTCTGTAGTTCTATATTGGAATTGAGTGTATTTTCCTATTCCTTTATGAACAGGGACACTAATCTTAATGAATCAGTTAACTGTTACATTGGCTTTTCCTAACACCCACCCCTCACCCTACTCTCTGGCCTGGTTCCCATGACTACCTCCTTTCCTTTGGCTAAGCTCTCCTTGGCACCCATGCACGGAAGGGGGTGAGAATAGTCAGTATGCAGAGAGTGAAGGAACACACATTTGCAGATAGAATCTGGTGTGACAGGATGAAAGGCAGCAAAGTGGAGAGATGAGAAGGAAGTATAAAGAAGAGAATAAACATGAAAAGACCACTTTGGCCACTTGATATCTAGAAAAAGCACACAGACATGGGATGTCACTGTAAGGCTTAATTGCATACAGCCTTGCTATAGGAGATGAATTATGAGACTCTTGGTTCTGGATTTGAGGTCTGGAATTTGGTAACTTTAGCATTTATATTTTAAGTGATCTTTTTTTCTAGTTGAATCTTTGTGTGTCCTATTTTTTGGCATTTGATCCACCCCCTTATTAGAAATGTCAATCAACGTTAGCATTTCTTTTTTTTTTCAACGTTTTTTTTTTTTTTTTATTTTTGGGACAGAGAGAGACAGAGCGTGAACGGGGGAGGGGCAGAGAGAGAGGGAGACACAGAATCGGAAACAGGCTCCAGGCTCCGAGCCATCAGCCCAGAGCCTGACGCGGGGCTCGAACTCACGGACCGCGAGATCGTGACCTGGCTGAAGTCGGACGCTTAACCGACTGCGCCACCCAGGCGCCCCGTTAGCATTTCTTTTAAAGTAGTTAATTATTGGGGCGCCTGGGTGGCTCAGTGGGTTAAGTGTCTGACTTCGGCTCAGGACATGATCTCACAATTTGTGAGTTCAAGCCCCATGTTGGGCTCTGTGCTGACAGCTCGGAGCCTGCAGCCTGCTTCAGATTCTGTGTCTCCCTCTCTCTCGGCTCCTCCCCCACTCATGCTCTGTCTCTCTCTCTCTCTCTCAAAAATGAATAAACGTTAAAAAATTTTAAAAAATAAAATAATGTAGTTATTCTAAAGGAATAAACTAGGTGACAGGTAACTTGTTATCCTTGTTTTTTTAATATTCTTTATATCGGTGGTCAGTATGTATATTTAGGAATTTAACTTCAATGAAGATTTCATTTTATTCTTCTAAGATAATTTTAAATTCTTATCCATCTACATCTGTTTTAGGATCTCCCTTTGTGAATGCGATTATCCATAAAGGCTTTGATGAAAGGCATGCCTACATAGGTGGCATGTTTGGAGCTGGGATTTATTTTGCTGAAAACTCTTCCAAAAGCAATCAGTATGTATATGGAATTGGAGGAGGTACTGGGTGTCCAGTTCACAAAGACAGATCTTGTTACATTTGCCACAGGTAAGAGATCACTTGTTCTCATTTAGTTTGATAAGAATTTAATAAGAACTAGTTTCATATTTGAGAAATTAGGGGAGCAAGGCATCATCTTGGACAACTTTAGGACTCCAAGATAGGTATTTTTCAGGTTGCTTTTGGCTCTCTCACCAGTTGTAACAGGAGCCAGTGTTTATTAAATGATCTGTGTGAGCCAAGCACAGTTCAAACCACTTGACCTATTTAACTCATTTAATCATTAGAACACCTAGTGCTTTAAACAATATGAAGCAGAAAATATCATTGGGCATGAGAGATATTATTATTATTAAATATTATAGGACTGTGGATTCTTTAAAAATGTGTATTCAAATGCTAAAATGGCATTCCTTTGCCAAGTCTAGTATTTCATAGGAATGCCTGTAGGAGTCTCTCTTCCACTGTGATATGATCCTAATCCTGAATTTGTGATATTACTACTTGAAAAACTTATCATGAAACACATTCCTTTTAAAAAGCACATTATTATCAAATAACTACTTTGCACTTTTTCCCCCCAGTTTTACTCTGGCCTAACTCAGTTGTTAAAATCATTCAAATAACTTGCCCCTAATTAATCCTCATAGGTAAATATAAATTATCTTTTGTCATTTGAAAAATTGAGTAAGGTTAATTACTGAAATTCACTCAACAGTTAGGGTACTGCTTATACAGATCAGAAGCAATCTTCATCAGATACTAGCAAGCAGGAGAATCACCTAAAGAGCTCGCTAAAACACAGATTCCTGAGCCCTACCTACTGAGTTGCTGACTTAGTAGGCCTGAGAGGAGGCCCTAGAATATGAATTTCTACCAAGTTGTCAGGTGATGCTAATGTTTCTGATCACTGATCTTGAAGAAAACCCTAGAGCAGTAGCTCTCAGCCTTGGTGACACATTGGAATCACTTGGGCAGCTTTAAAAACTGATGCATGTGTCCCACCCTCAGAGGTTCTCATATAATTGGTGTGGCATTAGGATTTGTAAAGGCTTCCCAGCTGATTTTGAAAGGTTGCCGAGGTAAAGAACTCTGGTCCTGGGGAGAAACAAGATTTGTTTTTGTATTACTCTTGTTTTCCCCCTAAGTTTAGACTTGTGTAGGTGCCTGAAGTCAGCCCTTTTGGATATGAACTCCCATCCACTTCTGTTTTAGATCATAAATTGGACAGTTTAGAAAGCTTGTAATCTCTTGAGATTCTGTAAATTCAACTCTGCTGTCATATTATCTGGAGGTAAAATAGTTCAGATTATAATAATGTTCTAGTACCACCTCTCATTACTTTTTAGAACAGAGTGGTTGGCTGTCTGGAAATAAGTTTATTAAAATTTTTAGGGGCACCTGGGTGGCTCAGTCAGTTAAGCATCCAACTTCAGCTCAAGTCATTATCTCACAGTTCGTGGGTTTGAGCCCCACATCAGGCTCTGCTGACAGCTCAGAGCCTGGAGCCTGCTTCAGAGTCTGTGTGTCTCCCTCCCTCTCTCCCTCCCTCCCTCCCCCCCCTCTCAAAAATAAATAAACATTAAAGAAAAAATTTGGGGGGCGCCTGGGTGGCTCAGTTGGTTGGGTGTCTGACTTTGGCTCAGGTCATGATCTCATGGTTCATGGGTTCGAGCCCCGTGTCGGGCTCTGTGCTGACAGCTCAGAGCCTGGAGCCTGCTTTGGATTCTGTGTCTCCCTCTCTCTGCCCCTCTCCTGCTCATGCTCACTCTCTCTCAAAAATAGATAAACATTAAAAAGACCTTTGTCTTTGGATTATCACAGGGCTGATTGGGACTATAATACAAATTGATTAGCAATGCTAAAGTTTCCAACAGGCTTATTTAGAATAAAAAGTATAGATAGCCTCTCTTTGGAGAATAGAATTAACTCATTCACCAAAATCTCTTTCTGTCCTTGGAAAAGAAGAAAAACCATGAAGTAATAAAAAAGGCTTATTGGAAATAAGGCAAGTCAATCATATATATGCCTGGGGATTGGGAGAGTAATCCACTTAAACTTCTGGTAAGGGAAGACCTATTTGAGGAACTAACATTGCAGCCGAAACCTAAAAAAACCAAGTGTTAGCCAGTTTGAAGAGTGGTAGAATAGATACCATTCTCTATAGTAAAGGAAACTGTGTATGATGGTCAGTAGGTAAGAGAGTTGGTTTGTGTGAAGAAAGAAAATTAATGCTCCTGGTACACAACACAAGGTAAGATGAGAGAATTTGGAGCCGTTGTAAGGAATTTGGATTTTCTTCCAAGGATCCTGAGTAACCTCTACAAGGTTTTAAGCAGAAAAGTGATGTGATTTGATTAATGTTTTATGTGTTGGATTTTTTTTTTTCCCTAAATAACTTGTTGCTTGGATGGAAAATAGTTTAGGAATTAGAGTAGAAATAGAGTAGTTCAGAGGCCATTGTTCCCAATCCAACTGAAAATTCTGGTGATTTGAATTTAATGGTAGCCATAGAATTAAGAGAATGAGTTTCAGATATAATTTGAAGGTGGAATCAACTAGACTTAGTTGGATAGATGTCCAACTTTGCAAGCTACTTCATGGGGGTTCCTTAAGTTTGCTTCTCCTTCTCACTTGGGCTGTGGTTTGTGCTTTTGCTAGGATACAAACAAGTGGAGTCTCCGTCTCTATAAGGTCATTCCATTCTCAGTTGTTATAGTTAAAATAAGGATTAATTAAAGTGACAGATTCATTAATGAGAGTAGAAGACATTCTCACAAAGTTCTTTTAAGGGTGAAATGACAAAACAACTTGTGTTTATGTGTAAATACATTAAAAAGCTTATGCAGTCTACACAGACAGTGTCTTCTACTGCCTTGTCTTCAGAGAGATCTTTTCCCTTCCCTGTTATAGGCAGCTGCTCTTTTGCCGGGTAACCCTGGGAAAGTCTTTCCTGCAGTTCAGTGCAATGAAAATGGCACATTCTCCTCCAGGACATCACTCAGTCACTGGTCGACCCAGTGTAAATGGACTAGCTTTAGCTGAATATGTTATTTACAGAGGAGAACAGGTAAATTCAGTTTTATTTGCTCATCTTCAGAAAGTATTTAGAGCCATACTTTAACCTTTTCTTACTAATCTCTTAAACTGACACGGCATATTGCCCTGAGAACTGGGTTGTTGTTTTTTTTTTAACTTTTATTTGGAAATAATTTCTCATTTACAGAAAAGTTGCAAAAATAATCGAGAAGTCCCTTATTTTCCCATTGTCAACATTTTATCTTTCTCTCCCGCGTGTGTGTGAATACAGTTTTGTTTTTCCTGAACTGCTTGAGGGGAAGTTGTAGGCTTGTTGCTTTACCCTTACGTACTTTAGTGTGTATTTCCCCAAAACAAGGACATTGTCTTAAAATTATCAAAATCGGGAAAATACCATTGTTACAATATTCTATCTAACTTACAGACTTTATTCAGATGTTGCCAACTACAGTGGATCTTTTTTCTGTTTCTTACCTTCTGTAAAATATAGTTAATCAGAATCCTGTATTTAGTAGTTAACCTATCTGTAGCAAAGAAGCAAACAATTCCCTCTTGCTCTTAGTGACACAGATCCAGTCAAAAGCATCTCTAGATGCTTGTGTTCTAGAGCAGTGTTCTTAACTGAGGAAATGTAGCAGAATCACCTCAGTTATTAAAAACAAACACATACTTAGTATTCATCCTAGACCTTCTGATTCAGAACCTAAGTGATTGGAATCAAGGTAAGGATGTTTTGAGAAAATGTCCTTAGATGATTCTGATCCACAGCACTAATTTAGAACCTCTTTTCTAAAGTGTGGAAATCCTTATAGTAAAATGTTTAAAACAGTTTGTTTACCAGTGTTTAAATTGATCTTTCTCTTCCAGGCTTATCCTGAATATTTAATTACTTACCAGATTGTGAGGCCCGAAGGTATGGTTGATGGATAAATAGTTGTTTTAGGAAACTAAATCCGCTGAACCTAAAGTCATCTAAGCAGCTGGTGGCCTATTAAGTTTTACTCCTTTGCTGAGAAGTATCATCTTGTCCACAAGCCTGTGGCCAAAGGATAAAAAAATGTGAAAGAAGTTTAACATTCTGACTTGATAAAGCTTTAATAATGTACAGTGTTTTCTAAGTATTTCCTGTTTTTCAGCACTTTAACAGATGCCATTCCAGGTTAAACTGGGTTTGTCTGTACTAAATTATAAACAAAGTTAACTTGAATCTTTTATATGTTATGCATTGATTCTAACAGAAAGTGTAATCCCCTCAACAGAACTCATTTTACTAATACAGTACTGTGTTCTTTAAAACACAGCATTTACACTGAATACAATTTCATTTGTAAAACTGTAAATAAGAGCTTTTGTACTAGCCCAATATTTATTTACATTGCTTTGTAATATAAATCTGTTTTAGAACTGCAGCGGTTTACAAATTGTTTTTCATATGTACTGCCCATCTGTACTTCATCGTGCATCATCATGATTGAGTGATCTTTACATTTGATTCCAGAGGCTATGTTGAGCTATTATTAGCAAAGACTGTCAGTTAGGAAAGATTGATATATCAGATTTAATTTGCTGATGGAAGCATTTATCTCTCATTAGAAATCTTTCCCACTTTAGAACTTACTTCATAAATACTCTGGGGATTTAATTTCTAGTACCTTTGTATGTATAAGACACATTCCAAAGAGCTCTAATTATGAACGTCCTGATAATTAAAGACACTTCTTTACTGGCTTCAAACTCCCAGGTTTCACATTGGAAAATTCTGTCATTTCATTTTGTAAAAATTAGAGCAAGTGCTTCTGTGTTTTAGAGGCTAAATCCTGCCAGTGAAAATTATGGTGTTCTTTTCATGGAGTGTAAATAGGAAGTTACATTTCAGAGGTAGGAACGGTAATTCTGACTAATTTTCCAATGTATTCTAATTACCCGAAATCTAAAGTGGGGGGATGGAAGGGGAAGCGAATGAGAGTGGGTCGTTTTTTATCCAAAGTAACTTTCTCTTGTTTTTTCTCCTTGGCCTTACTGTTAGAGCCGATCTTTACACCATAGGTAAACTGAACCCAGAACCATGAAATATAGGTGTCCCAGTTCTCTCCAGGTCGCCTGAATGGGCAGGTGCTGTGAGCCATTGCTTCCTGGTCCTCGGTTGCCTCATCATGACACTAACAGTCAGTTGGAAATACACTTTGTGTGTGCACCACATGGTGACCAGGCTTGTTTGGCAGCTGTGGAGGGGAATGCTATCCCATAAAATGCCATTCCTGTTTTCTAATGTAAAACTGTCTTTTCCATGAAATAGGCGAAAGCATCTTGGTACAGAGACATGAATTATAGCTTGTCAGTCTAGTCGTTGACTCTAGCTCCCTCAGAAAGCAAGGCAAGATTTTTACCGACTTACGTCTCTGTAAGTGGGAATGTTCCTCTTCAGTCTCTGTGCCAGTTCACTTTTGTTTTACATTTTATTCCATCTCTAAATTATCTGGCCCTTTGCATTAACTTGTACGTAAAGTGCTAGAAAATCATATTTCTTGTCCTAAGTGAGAGTTAATCAGAGTAAATGCATATCTGGAGTTGTTTCTATGATATAAATTGTGATCATTATTTAAGAGGTCAGTTCCTGACCTGGAAGCGCTTTTATACAGCTCTCTAATAATTGCAGTTATGATCCTAAAGTAATTTCTTGGAACACAAATGGAGTATGCCAAATTTTATATAATTTTTCAGATTCTGGAAGCTTCCAGATTTTATAATTAGAAGCTAATGAGATGAGTTAATGGAATTTATATTTACCTACCTTATCTCTCAGCATTGAGCCCGTTACTCACCCTGTAGGTGAATCTGGAATTACTTTTCATGGAAAATCATCGAGATCTATGAGTTTATGATATTGCAGCCTGTATTGTTTCATCTAATCCATTGCTTAATTAGTGTGTTATTTTTCTATGAATGATTATATTGTGGTTAATATGTTAGCATGGCAATATTTTCAAATAGCTTTTGGTTTGTTGACAGTTTGAGGGATTTTGGGGGGTGGTTGGGGGGATTTTTTTTTGGAGTTTTTGCATGAAATATCTTACTTTATAATGATGGAATTGCTTTTTCTTTTGTCTTGTGATTTTGGGGGGGGGGAGTGAGAATTAACTTTTTGTGTGGGTAGTACTATTATATCCATCTTGGGTGTCTTATTTGTACTGTATCACATTCCATACCTTCATTTAATTCTTAATAAAGTGTTCATTTGTTTTTCTGGGTAGCATGGTAATTACTGGAATAGTATAAATGTTTTGAATGGTCTTGAGAAAATGGATTAAGATCGCAATAAACCACAATTGCAGGAAAACAATGCAGTTCTGAGTCTAACAGTGATAGAATGCAGTTTAAAATTTGAAATATTGAGTTTTGTGACCATAATCTCTCAGATGCTTTGATATGTGATGCTTTTAGACATATACTCCATCCAATACAACTTTCAACAAACCTTAAAGGTCATTCCCAGGAAATCTATCTTCTTCTAAAGAGGAATATATATCTACATTTTTTTTTTTTTTTT